GTCTCTGCTACCCATCCCGATTCTCACCCAGTGCCTGTCCTTTGACTAGCGATAACCTGCCAGTCCGGTGAGTAAAAATCCTCTGAACTGCTCCAAAGGGCTTCTGGATCACATTGAGCTTCACCAGTGACATCACCCACCAACAGGAACCGTCAAGCCTGTTCCAGTGAGGTTAGTGACTGAAGGTCCAGTGGCCAGAGTGCCTTCCAAAGTCTCTTTCTGGTCACTAACCTGTAGTCTCCCCTTCCAGTGGTTCCTGTCCCAGACACTGGTGATTCAGCCTCTACCTGCAGCAGTTTATGTAATACTGTTTTCCGCTATCTGATGTTGTCTGGCTGAATTCTGGGTCTTCTTAGACTAAGACAGCACTCGGTTCTCCTGGCTCAGGGGAGGAAGAGGATGATGATGCTGTGAGGGCGGTAGCCCCCTGGGTTGAAGAGGCTGATGTGGTTGAAGCAGCAGTGGTGCCATCGGCAGGTTTAGCAACGACAGATGATGCTGGAGAAGGTGTGGAAGCTGGAGAGGGCCGGGAGGAGCTGACTGGGGATGCTTCAGCATTTGGTAGGGAAGCATCTAGAGGGCTCTCCTCATTTTCACCTGCAGAGGGCTGTGCTTCCCCTCCTGATGCCGAAGATTGCCTGGGAACAGTCTCAGAGGAGTTTCCATTCACGCAGAGCTCTTTGTTTTCTATCAGCATGGCTTCTGTTTATGCTCATTACACATGATAGAGAATCATCATAGAGATCCAACTGGAATGACTCCTCAGTAGGCTACAGTATGAGCAGATTCAAATGGTCATATTCGACTCAAACCTTTAAGGAAAGAGGTTTGATATTATTGCTCAGCACCATAGTGAGTCTTAGTCCATCTAAACTAATAAAACTAAATCCATCTGAAATTCTGGATTGAACTGACCGGCTATTATAATCTTTTGGGAAGTTGATTTATTACTTTAATTTGTTATTTTTTCTTCCTTCCTTTCCTTGTGTGTTTTTATACTTTAACGTTTTCTATCAACTGGCTTTCTGCAGATCTTAGACTCCGTGTTGCCTTACACCTTCCAGAAAGCTCCATTTGTGGTTCATGATTGTTGCTCCTGTTTCAGTGTTTCTTTGTCATCTTCAGATTCGGATCTTGTTTCATGTCCCATTACAGGTTGAACTCTTTTATGATTTCTTTGTGTTTTTTTCATGGCTCCCCTGTGTTCGCCATCATCCATTTTCTCCTATTTTTCTTCCTTTTTACCCCAGTTAGCGTAGCACGACCCCCTGACAGCTGACATTCATTCTCCTGATTAGACCCATCTGTCTTCACTGCAGCAGTCATACTGCCAGTTTTTAGGCCCTTTAGTTTCTGCCTATCTCAGTTTACATTTGCTTCTCTGTGGTTCCTGTTTGCTTTCCTAATAAGCCCTAATTCCTTCTGCCATCAGGATCTTTTTGTTCCGCTGTCTTTCAGTCACCTGAAGAGGTCTGTAGACAAGAAGTCCTCACAATATGGACGCTTTGGGGACCTTTAAACAGTAGAGTGGGCAAATATGGAAAAGTCAGGATATGGAGTGGGGGTATTGGGGAAATTAAAGAGTAGCCGCGTGCAGCACGAAAACCATTTTAAAAATGCTTAAACTGAAAATATAACAATATTACTGTTGTAGAAAGATTGTTATTAAAAAAAAAGGAGCTGTTATGTCCACCTAAAAACCACCAGCAGACTTTTAACATGCAGGAAAAACCAGCCTGGATGTAAAGATGGATTCAGTTTGTGGGGAGCAGTGTCTAACTAGGAGGAAGGATCTGTGATAGCGCTTCTTAGAGCACCTAGGACCCAGCAGCCTGTCGCTAAAGGAGCTTTGCAGCAGGTCCATGCACGAGGTGAGAGATGTCGTCCAACAGCGATGTTATTTTTACTGTAGAGGCTGTCTGTCTCCCGCCACCCGCCCTGGGTCGGGCGGCGTCCTAGAATAGACCTGCCGTTCCTGATGAGCTTATCTTCCTCTCAGATGCAGATAAGCTGCTGCTCAAACAAACCACTCATAGAAGATAGCTGATGCCCCCAGAGATTTTTAAAGGCTCTCCCTGAACTCCGAAAAGATCTCAGTCTCCTCACTTCATATCGGTTTCCTGGCTGTTTACCAATGTCGGTGTGGTGGTTCCAGGCTAGCAGGGAGAAGGTTTAGGAAGAAGGTTCTGCTGTACCTGTCCACAAAGAAAAACACAATGGTGGAGCAAAATGTAGTATAAGTGTTTTTACATTTAGGTCTATTCCACCTTTTGTACATTTTCTACAGTGTTGCAAAAATGCATAAATGTGCAAAAAATGCAAATAACACTGCAAATGCAGAATGTGATAATTTGCCAAGAGGAAAATGAAGCAGAAGAGGAATGCTGCAATCTTGGAAACTAGAAAGCAGCACTGTGGAAAAACACACTGCAAACACATAAATAGCGTTAATTGATCAACCATAAATTTAAACAGCATTAAGGGCTTTGAAAACAAAAAGCAACGTTTGAAATCGATCCTCAAAGAAAGTGGAACCCTATGATGATTAAAAATGGATCTGAATGGTTTGAACCCACTGAAGACAGTTGATTTATGACTGGAAGACATCAACATAGAGTGAGTTGAAATAGTTAATTTAAAAGCTTATGAACATGTTGATAGTTTTCTTGTGATTTATTTAATTTAAGAAAAGTGTTTTACTTTGTTAAATCACATTGTTGATGAAAGTTAATACACTTCAATGTAGTCCTGTTTCTCTGACTGTGACTAACTGGATGCGCTCTCTTCATCCTCTGACATGGGAGCTGGCTCGGAGCTCATCTGCCTGGCCGTGTGTTTCCTGGACGGGGCCGCCTTTTACAGCTGCTTTTTTTAATCTCCTTGAACCCCAGTCGGCCTGCTGGAGGTTTCTTCCTGTTAAAAGGGAGTTTTTCCTCTCCACTGTCGCTACAAGCATGCTTAGTGTGAGGGATTGCTGAAGAGTCAATGAGTCGATGCAATCAGCTGGTTTTCCTTAGATAGAAAACTTTGAATCAATTTGATTGGATGATCTGATAGAACTGTAAATTGCCTTGAGACGACATGTGTTGTGAATTGGCACTCTAGAAATAAACTGAACTGAATTGAATTGAAAGCGAGCATGAAACACGCTGTCCGATCACTTATCAAATCCCAACTGCTGTCAAAGATGAATCCAAGATTCTTAATAAAAGGTAGAAAACAAAAAGAATGGGAAAAATCATCAGTGAAAACATACTCTGTGTTATCCTCATTCCAGTTAAGAAACCGCATTTTAAAGTTTGCAAGCTGTCAGTTGATGTTTGAAGAGCCCCATCTCTATTTGGAAACAGGGAGATTCACCTGGAGATCATCTGCTTAGGGCTGGAAGGCTGTAATAGATCCCACTGGCAGCATGTAAAGGAAACAACAACAAAGGACCCAGGCTGGGGCCTTGGAGAGACGGAGAGACAGCAGTGGAGGATAGATCATTGTCACTACAGGAAAACTTTAAGTTGACAGGTAAGATACCAACCATTTAAACTCTGAGTACCAACATACTGATAAAGGCGAGACGGAGCAGTAAACCTGTTCAGTTAAGCAGCACTAAGACGACAGCCAGACCACGTAGCATCAACAGACAGAAAAGTCACTTTCAGCAGAGCAGACTGCTGTGACTGGACCTGAAGACATATTGGGATTCCTCAAAGTTACTCTTTAAGGAAGTTTGCATGAAAACAGTTTCCCCCTGAAGATCAGGTGGAGGTCACTAGAAGATCAGCCTCCCACCTGGAGGCAGGCTGATCCCAGAGAGGAGCCCTCTCTGGGAGGGTCACCTGCATACACCAGGTGTTAGATGGACTGGTGATGAAAGAGCAGCTGTTGGTGGACTCGGAGAAGAGCAGAGGGGACCTGGTGCTGATGGTCATGGACTCAGAGACCTGCTTTCTTCACATGAAGCCTGAGATCCACACTGCAGGTGGAGTCAGGCTGTCCTGCAGCAGGGCTGAACTGAAGGCCAAAGGATCATGGAGAGAACCAAAGTTCATATTTTTTTAATATGTAAAGCAGTTCAGGCCAAATAATAAAATACTTGGTTTTCATGGAAAATGTTAGAAGATATGGAGGCTTGACCTTCAGCAGATGTCATTCCTTCATCATTTCACTCTTCACTAATTAATATACAAACCAATTAGTAATTGAGGAGGGTTATAAATAATACATTGTCCTCACTTTTTCAAATTAGTTTTTTAAATCAAAAAATGATTTTCATTTTCTAATAACGTTTTTATTTAGAAAATCAATCATTAACTTAAATTGAAACAGTTCTTCTCGAAACAAATTCTCTTTGAGATTAAATAAATAATTAATAATATTGACTGGTTTCATTATTTAATTAAATATTTGTACTTAAGTTACAAAATCGCTGGGGGAAGGGGGGGCTTGTAGAGGAGGAAGTGGGCTGTGCTTCCAGGGGGGTGGAGGTGTGTGCCGACAGGCTTTTATTTTGAAATCCAGCCTATATTTAGGTGTGAGACGATTGGAAGAAGCTGCAGGCTCCCTGTTGCGCACTTGGCGGAACGCACAGTCAGAGCGCGGTGTCTTCTTGCGTGGACTGACCCACAGAGGCACCTTTCCACGCTGATATTAACGCGCAGCTCCGTGGATGGACTCTGATCGATCCGCTCCAATGACAGGAGATCAATAATCAGCTCTCTGCGTCTGAGCGCGCAGACTTTACGCATCCTTGGAGCAACGGGACAGTCGGTCAAGCTGCTGCGTCCTCTTACGTGTTTACCTTCTGCGTGTCCTTCTCCGTGTTTCTTGGAGGCTTTTCTGGGCGCTGCTGTTTTTAAAAGGTAAGAGCTCTCTGACCCTCCATATCCACATCCAGGGTGAAGTTGAAGCTTTAACTCAGACAGACAGTTAAACTTCTGATTAAACTGCTTCCAGGCTTCTAGTCTGAAACAGGTGAACATTTTTCTATCTCCATGGTCCTGAAAGCGCACAGTCAGGTGGTTGGGGGGGGCAACACTTTCACTTTCGCCAGGTGCTCAGGACGTGCACACCTCGCGCATTGCGTCAGAGCGAACGCGCTCATTTGGTTTGGGGACAAACGGTGGCAGCGCACCGTTTGAGGAGGAGAGCTGGGGGCCTCAGGTTACAGAGCGGGGCCCTCACGGTGCTGCTGCAGGACAGATGGAAGAAGGGCCCCTCAGAGATAACAGTGAAAGCCTGCAGGAGATCCGATGAATATGGAAAACAACACGTTCAGGCAGGGGGAGAAGGTTTCCACAAGACCCCAGACCTCCTGATATTTCTGCCCCTCACCAACTGAGGGTGTTTTTTTTTATCTTGGTCTGTCAGGTTGGGTCTCCTGCAGCTTCTTTACTGCCATATTTCATTTACTCACCTTGTTTTCAAATAGATTTAATAAAATAAAGTGAATAATTCTCACAGAATCTCTCGGACAGGAAATAAATTAATTATTAGTGATGTGAGGAGCTAGTAGAAAACCGCAGAGACTGCCTTAAATCTGCGGAAAATCCCGGACTTTACAGACTGACTGACAGAAATGTGACTGCGGCCAATCTGAGCGGCTGGGCTGCGAAAAACAACCTATAGAGCTCATCCAATAAGTAACAGTTTGAACTCAATTTACTGATTTGAGTAATTAAAGACAGTGCTTCTAATGTTTTATATATAATATTTAAAGCTATAAATATTGTTTTTTTTAATGCTATAACTTTAAAAACGTTAAAAGGGAACAGTCCAGGGTCAAACCCAAAACTTTCTTCTGTGACAAACTGCATCACCATCATGTAATAATCGATTATTAACACTGATTTAGTAATAAGCTGCAAAGTTAAAATTATCAAAACCTAAAAAGCGGTGAAAGGAGATCATGTCTGAACAACAGATGCTTTCAGACAGAGAAATAAGGAAACATAATTATAACACTTTCTATAAAATTTAAACAGATTTTAAACATTGCGCATATTTTGATTCCCTTAGAAAGGGAAAAGATTGAACCGTTATAATCGAGTTCAACATGTAGAGGGGATTTTTTAATGATTTGCATGGATTACGTTTACTGCCCACTTACATCATTTCTTAGAGTGATGAGCTGAAGGAGGATGAATCTCTCAGATCTCTGCTGGATTTTTCCTGTCTTCTGGTTTCCAGATGCCTATCAGCTGCTTGTTATTCAAAGGTGGAACATAAAGATGAACTATTTCTCCATGTTTCAGAAACATCCTCATGTTGGGCCTGTTTTATCACTTTGGATGCACAGAATTGTCAAATATTCTATATTTTATTTGGTTTGATCCCATTTTCTCTTGTTATTAAATCCCTGAGTAAACATTATATTTTAATCAGTATTATTTTTATTGAAGCAAATATCTGATTTTGCATTTGACTTTGGGCTTTTCGTTCAGCTCTCAGCAGCATGGAGCTCATTCAGGCCCTGTTTCATCATCCTCCGGCTGATTCATCTTTTTTTTGCCTCCTGTAGCCCATCAGGCCTTTTTACTGCTGCGTTGTTTAGTGGGTTTAATTAAAGCATTCTGGACTAAAACGTGCAAACATAAAACTGAGGCACAAAGAAGATGCTGGGCACTGCGGTGAGTCAGCCCTGAGCTGTGTGCACGGCGTCCTCTCCGCCGCTCTTGCTGTGTTTTGTTGAGGACCAGTCTGAGGTTTAGTGTTTTATATGCGTGCATGTTAACATTTAGGGCCACTCTCACGCCATCACTGGTTTTAGAACTAAGATGAGGCCTGGTGGGCGTCCTGTGGTCCGTGTGACTGGGGTGTGATGCATCGTAAACGTCTGGCTGAATTGGCTGCAGAGACCAGAGTGCAAGATTCAACCTGTCCTGCATGTGAGTGTGGTTTCTTTTTTGGTCCATTTAGTTCACTGTTCAGTAAGCTGTGGTTTTAAGTCTGTGCTGCTTTGGTTATTCAGATCGCCGCTTCTAGAAGATAAAAATATAAAGCCATTTATGGTAACAATGCGGTGTGCAACATTTGCATAGTTTAGATAGAGACAATAATATGATTCAGGGAAATTGAGAAAACCAAGTTCTGTTTGGCCTTGAAGCAAAACCAACATTTAGAGGTTAATGGGCCTAGTTTATACACCAAGATGATTGTTTTCACATCGCAGTATGGTTTTATCTATGGTTTAAAGACCTAAATGTGTTTTTTTTTCTCAGATTTCCTCGGTGCTCCTCTGACTGCTGTAGGATGTAGATTTTTCTGGTCAATCAGCCCCAGGAGCTGAGATCACACACTGAAACTTGCATGTTAGTTAACCTCACAGTTGGCTTGCAGACAAAGGTTGGCGGCTCTCAGCAGGAGCTCCAGCAGCCTGTTTGCATGCATCTCAGTTGTTTAATGCTGCCTTTGAGGACCACTGTCACTGCTGCAGCTTCTGCAGCAAAACTGGATCTTCAAATGACGGAAACACTTGTTGATGTCAGAATGGCTATCAGATTAGGAATGGAATATTTCTGTAAAGGATGCATATTTTACCTGCTAAATAAACATGCTGTTGGCTGCATACATGGGCTAAAGAATCAGAAATTAAAAGCACATTTCATGAAAGCAGCTGTAGGTGGCGCTGCCCTTTATTAAATATACTGAATCAAAATCTCTTAATTATCCAGCTTCCAGTTTCCTTCGCTTTCTGACAAAAACCATTAATTTACTAAAAGTGTTTCACAATAAGCTGTTAAAATAAACAAAAATCTCATTTTTAGAAAGAAAAAATTTAAAGAGAACCAACAGATTGGAGATAATTTAAAATATCAAATGACTTTTTATCATTTAAGAAGGTTCTCTGGCATAAAAGGTTAAGGAAGCTGTGCTTTTCCATGTATAAATGTGGTAAATTATGAAGGGTCATTATCCAAGTTTGACCTGCAAGAAGTTTAGTAGTTACAAAGGGTGAGGCTAGATAACACTTTGCATTCACTGTTAAAATAAATGTTTATTTTTTTTTTTTTTTTCATCACAAGCCTTAGCAGCATTTGTTGTTTCATTCTTGTTAAAATGGAAACCAGAGCAGATGTTTATCAGCAGTAGTGAAGCAATTAATGTTCTGCTCTTTATTGGTTAAAAAAGTCATATTTTTCTGCTTTATCTGAGTGCTTTTCCATAAAGCGAGGAGATTATACAACTAATTCGAGGAAATTAGTTTCTTAGCGTCCAGTGTTTGTTTCTTAGTGCACAGTTGTAGGAAACAAGGTTAGTGGATGGCCTATGACACACAACATCCAGGAGCAGCAAAGAAGCGGTGGCGGCGGCAGGCAGAAGGAAGTCAGTGATCACATCTGGGCAGATGTGACCCATTCAGTCAGAAATGAAGCCCAGGAGCAGCAGCCACAGGCCAAAGATGCTGAGAGTAAGTCCTGTTCAAAGCTGTGCTTCACAGAGGTGGTCTTTCAGTGAGATTGAAGACCATGTGGAGGGGGTCATCATAGCAAGGTGACCGCACCGTCTCCATGAGACACAAAGCCAAGGCCACAAAGGAGGACTATCCGCTGGCTGTAGTCAGACCCAGAGGAAGATGACCAGGGGTTAGGGGCTCAGCAGGTGGGGGTCTGTCCTGCCACCTGATGGTTCGAGCCCACGTTCCATTTGTCTGTTGTTATTTCCTATCCAAGTTGCTGTTGTTGGTCAGAGGGTCTGGTGGCCTGAGGGCCCAGTGTGTGAATGAATGAATGAATAAATGAATGAAGCATAAGCAGTTTGCAGGTACAGGCTATTTCCTATTTAGCTAATGCTACCTAATTCTAGCTTGCTATTTTCACAACTCAGAACAGAGGAACCTGGTATTCAGGCAAGACAGACAGTGGGATAACTTCAAAAGCGTTTATTTGAAACCAGACAGTCTGCGGATCTGCAGCATCACAGGCTACGTCTAAAGGCAGGAAACTCTGGAGAGAGAAAACACAGGTTAGTGACCGTGAAAACATGACGGAGGATGGTCTGAACGCTTGAGTCACTAACCTGGTTAAGACTACAGTCCGTGTTCAGAGAACAAGGTGGATGCCAGCCGGTCGGCTGACCAGACTCAGTGGTTGATGCACAGAGAGTTCCAGATGCCAAAGCCTAGAAGATAACAGAACTGACAGGAGATCAGTTCCAAGCGGATGACGGAAGGCAGTAAAATCCAGAGGGCGAAGTCAGGAGGAAGATCCGGGTACAGTCCACTAATAGAATACAGCAAAAATCTGAAGACAGATCAGGCAAACAGATCAGAACAGGGACAGATAGGCTCAAAGGTCTGAAGACAGAAACAGACAGAAAAAAAAAAGAAGGGCCAAGATCATGAGTGGTCCAAGCTATAGTGGTATGTAGAGGTGATCATGGCATGAGTGTTGCGATTCGATTCATGTCGCGATACTTGAGTCACGATACGATATTATCACGATGTTGCAGTATCTCTATATATTGCCATATTTTCCCCAGCTATCAAAATCAAATGATGAGATAAAACAGCAAGTGTTGTATATTTTCATCAAAAAATATTGATTAGGTATTATTACCCATGTTGTTTGGGGTTTTCTTCAACTGTGACTGCCTCAAATACAGATTTGGTGCTGCACGCACAGTTAAAGGGCTCCACAGCGCTTTCTGCCAGAGTGGTGGTGCAGAGGTAGCCCATTTTCCCATCAATGTTTTATGTAACCATTTTTTTTTTAAATCGATACTAAGAAGTGAAAGATCGATATTATATTGGGCAGCCGAATATCACGATATATCGCCAAAACCATTATTTCCCACACCCCTAGTGGTATGAGAGACTGCAAAGGACTTCTCAGTGCAATCTCCCACTTCCATGTCTGTCCTG